ACAGTGTACAAAGCAAAATATAAGGGGAGGCCACGCTGCAGTCCTCACAGTGTGCGCGCAGGGCGGACCGGCTCTGATCTGTGCACATCGGAGGAAGGGATGGGTACTGAGGTTGTAAAAGCACATCGCACATCTATTTCCTGGCTGTTAATGGATGTAATTTATTAATTTGAAAAACATACATATGAAACCATAAACATCTCTGCACCAAATAGCTCTTGAGAAGGAAACAAATATATAAATAGTGTGTCTGATCCAGTCCCTCTAGCTCAGTAAGAGCAGAGTAACTAATCAAGTGGTTATCTCCTAACACTTGTTGTCAAATGTCCTGTTAACTTTAGAAAGCGGCAGTGTAAACACCAGTGTTAAATTTAGCACACACCAGAGTGTTAGTCTGCAAGTCTTACTGAAGGGCAACTCTCGCTCTTAAATGAGCATTAACTACCGCATGGCTTTATGCTCACTCTGCAAATGACTGGAGTATCATTTCATTTACAACAACTAGACTGGATGTGGTTTTCAATGTATCCAAAAGTCGAAACCATTCAAGATGTTTTTTCTGAGAAATATAGACGATGGAGTTATACTTCATTTTACATCCAACTCTACCATGGGTTTTTTATGTGAGCTATAGTTCCAAAGAAACTTTCATAGCTGCATTCATGGCTTTATTTCAACACATCTCATATCTAATCAGTTAATAACACACATAAATCAATAATGGAAAAATACAAAACATAAGGAAGAGACCTTCCTCTGCCAACAAATTAGAGCTGGATATTTGAGTAATTAAATGTAATACTTGAGCTTAATCGTAAAGGATAAGGCCCATAAATTAAAGCTTTCACACATTTGGCCCTAACTTCTCCAAACAACAAGCCAACAAGAACGAGCAGACTGAGCTTCAGACATGAGGTGGCATGCTCTGCTGCGACGCCTATTCTTGTTGTTATGTCATGGTGTCCCTATGTATCTTGTATCTATGTATGTTATGGTCTGAAAGCTATGTACAGACTGCAGTGACAATTTCCTGTGGAAGGACAATAAAGTATCTATCTATCATCTATCCTATCCTATCTATCATTCTATTATCTACTATCTACTATCTATCTATCTATCTTGGCGTCTGTCTACAGAATCCTTACATGTGGACTTTTTACATGGGGTTTGGGGTGTCAACAAATCAAGTGGTTTCATGTCTCCTCAAATTGGGTGGAATATGTTGATGTCAGACATTACGTCACTAGAACAAACTAAATACTCATTTAGTGAAACATGAAGCTCCCAACACAACATTAACATTACTGTAAAGATGACAGAAAAATGACCCGCCTAGACTCAACGCTCTGCCTCACTCAACATGAGGAAATCATGCAGTAAAACATTCAACCGACTGTATGAAACAAATCTACAGTCAATATGAAAGCTAAGTCAAATAGATACTACTTTGTTAGACTAACACTACCCTGTTTGGTTTTCTTGTGCTGTTCAAATATAATTAATATAATGTTTCTTGTTTGAGACATTTTCCCTTCCCTCAACATTTCATAACTTTGCAGTGTTTCTAAATGATGCATTAGCAATTCAGGCCACGGTTATCTGGCTTTACTGTAAGTATCCATTTCTCTAATGAAAGTGGCTAATGGCTAGTGGAAACTCATTGACTGAAAGACACCTAGCAGCATATTTTACAGCCTAAAAATATAAATATTATCTACAAATAGGCAGTGGTGGAATGCTACTAAGTACTACTTGTATTTGTACTTTACTTGAGTTTTTCTGCTACTTTAGGCTTCTACTCCATTACATTTCATAGGGAAATATTACTTATATTTGACTTACTATTACTTTTTACACCTCCTACATGTATTTCACAGCTTACGTTAATAGTTACTTTGCAGATTAACAATACATACACAATACAAACAACAACAAATACAACAAACAAAGTGTCTAAAAGCATTAAAAAGTGGTTCCTTCTTGACCCGCTACAAATTAAAATGCTTCTTACACACGTCATTTTACAATTAATTTCCATGTAATATGACAACATAACATACTGACAGGCGTTGGCATAATGATGCCTTTAAGTACATTTTCTCATAATACTTCTTCTCATAATTTACTTTAAAGACATTTTTTGCTTCTGTATTCGAAGGTAAAATGCTTGAATTCTAGACTTTTACCTGTAAGGAACGTTTAGATTGGGTTTGGGTGTTTACTTTTACTATAACATGCATTACTTTATTAAGTCTATTAGACATTACCTTATTTATTGCTTTGGTGAAGAAACACCCACAACAAGTCAACACCTCAGCTAGACATTCCTGGTTGGACCTGTTTTGATTTCATTTCACTTTCAGTTCTTAGTAATCAGCTTAAAAACTGGCCTGATTTAACAAAAGCTAAAGATGTCCCAGTGTTAATATCTGTTTTTATCTTCTTCTTTTAGAAAACCCAATTTACCTATTTTGTTCCCAGATCCCAGACAGAATTACCTGGAGATTAACCTGTCAATAATAACAGTAAAGACTTCCTTTCGATTTCTATTCCTGTAGTCTACCTGCTTAGTAATCTTATGGGATTATAATGTTGTTATAAACGTGTGGGTGAAAATTAAAGACGATTTTCCAAACCTGACTTTGGAGTAAGGACAATTTTATATAATTTACTTTATTCCAATTACATTTTGAAAAGGAAATATACATCTTACTCTATTTCATTCATTTGACAATAAAATCACATGCAGAGCTTCTTCTACGA